CTGGGAGCCTTTGAAAAGATTCCTTATCATGAAAGGAGATAGGTGTGTCTTTCAAAGTGAGGCAGACCAAAGGGACCCACCTCTCCTCCCTGGTCAGGGAGTTAGTTGAATACTGTCAAGTACTGTGAAATACTATTAGAATTGTTAGTTCTGTTTTGGATTTCCATTACGTCTTTATTGCAACACACTTTTAAGCTTTTTAAGAACGGCTAAAACAGTCAAGAACAGACGCTTGACAGGGCCTTCCATTACGCCTGGCAGCCTTGAATGGGGAGCTGTCAGTCAAGCAGCTTTACTGGCAACCAGCCAGACTACCATAAAGGCAGCCTAGCGGCTTGGGCCATTTACAGTCACTCTGAGGTTGCTCTAACAGCTACAAGGACCACTGAAGACATGCTCCAGTCCTGACCACTCCAGACAGTCTCTATAGGCTTTGAAAGGCAGCACTTTAAGACGAAGGTCTGTGAAATCTGAATGGCCCTGCAGCCATATTCACCTAAGCTAGAAGGGGGTACACCTTCCCCGGAGGTCCAGCAAGAAGGCTTGTGATTGGTGCACTTTAAAACCCTGTATCTCCATGAAGAGCTGTGCCATGATTGGTACAAAAATCACTGCCACGCCGGGCGGTGGTGGCACACGCCTTTAATCCCAGCACTCGGGAGGCAGAGCCAGGTGGATCTTTGTGAGTTCGAGGCCAGCCTGGTCTACAGAGCAAGATCCAGGAAAAGGCACAAAGCTACACAGAGAAACCCTGTCTTTAAAAAAAAAAAAAAAAATCATTGCCACACTCTCCTTCTTGCTAGTTCTTGTTCAGTTCATTTTAAATTTTTTTTATCTATTTTTGTTTATATGTGTGTGTGTGTGTGTGTGTGTGTGTGTGTGTGTGTGTGTCCGTGTCCATGAGTGCATGCGCATAGGTGTGCAGGTGCTAGTTGAGACCAGAAGAGGGTGTCAGGTCCCCTGCAGCTAGAATTCAGGCAGATGGGAACCTCCTGATGTGAGTGCTGGGAACCAAACTCAGGTCTTCCGGGAAGAGCAGCCCATCTTATTAATTAAGAACCATTTCTCCAGCCCCTCGGCTGAGCTTTCTAGTCAGCTGGCGACAACTTCCCATGCCACCCCAAAATTGCAACATTATGCCCATTAAAAGGCTTCTCTCGAGCATTGTTTTCTTTCTTTTTTTTTCTTTTTTCTTTTTCTTTTTTTTTTTGCCTTGCTTATTTTTGTCTTTATCACGGGGAGAGCAGGCTGAGCCAGAACACAAAGGAGAGACAAGAACACAAAAAAAGAGACATAGCAGTGTTCTTTGGCTGCGGGGGGACGGGGGGGGGGGGGGGACACACAACAGCAGCAGCAGTGGAGGTGGAAGTGGCTGCCCGGGCAACCGCAGTGTTGAAGTGGTAGACTTGGTGGGCCCAGGAAGGCAGAAGAGATAAGGGATCACAGAAGCACAGAGAAGGGAAGAGAGAGCTGGCAACAGGGCTCAGTGGGTAAAGGTGCTCGCTACCAAGTCCGCCAACCTGAGTTCAGTCCTGTTTACACGCTAGAAGGAAGGAGAGCACTGACTCCATCCATTTGTCCTGGGACCTCCACACTCTGTGGGTGCCCCTGCTCATGCCCACGTACAACAAATGTTTTTATTTAATTCTGAGAGAAAACAGGAGAGGCAAAGAACCAAGCTTTAAGAGTGAGAGAGACGACTGGGAAGGGTCAGAGGTAAGATGATGTACATTCCTGTCACCGGAAGAGTTCCCAGGAGCTGCCCAAGCCTTAAGGGCCAAAGATCCCAGTGCTGTAGACCTGAAAACTCTATTGGAGGCGGTGGGAGCCAAGGGTCCCAACACCCAAGGCTACCAGGAGCTGTAACACTAACAACAGGGTCTACCTAGATATTGTAGTCAACATTCCGATAGTTGCTGGCAGTTAAATTAGCCTTCAGCTTGCATAGCCAGAGAGGGCTCTGACTCCCAAAGCCTGAAGCTGCTGGCCTGAAGCTCTCAGGGCTTGGAAATATAAGTCCTTCAATTGGTGCCCAGCTCACAGACACTGTACTTGCCCACCAGAGATGGACAGAGGGGAAGAGACTCTCCTTGCCTATCCACAATCTCTGTCTGGGTGGAGCAGAAGACCCCTGCCAACTAATGGGGGACCAACAGGCAAAGGAAAACAATTTCAAATGATTTATCACGAAAATATGCAACCTTTCAGATGGCATCTGCTCAAGTCGTTCTGTGACTGAGGACTGAGTGTTGCATTGGAGATGAGAAAGGAGGCTGCTGCAGGCTGAAAGGCAGGTAAAACCAGAGACGAGGCACGAGGCACGGGCAGGACCGGCAGGAGCCTGTCAGGAAGCTGCAAAGGCAGCTGTGGGATTTAAAACTCCGTCACGACGGCGAGGAGCAGAACGGAAGGGGCAGAAAATTGAATCTGAGAATGTGGAGCACCGATATGAGAAACTCGCTGAGAAAACAAAAGAGAAGCCCAAAGGGATAAAAAGCGAAGAGAAAAATCTGATAAACAAAGCGAGAACCAGGAAGACCAGAGAAAAAATAACATTCCTGAGCTGATGGAAAAAGCTAGAGCCTGAGCATTGAAAAGTTGTTCCTTGTCTTCCAAGCCAAACGGACCGAAGGACACGAACAATAGCTAGGCGCAGTGGCCCTTGCTCATAATCCCAGCGCCCAGAAAGCAGAGGCAGGAGGATTGCTGCAAGTTGGAGGCCAGCCTGGTCTACACAGTGAGTTTGACTCTACAAACAGGAGAAGGAAGAGGAAGGGGAAGAAGAACTTACCAGAAAAATCTCTTCTAATTTTAATGGCAAAGAAATAATTCTGTCAGTACCCATGTAGCAGGTAACATAGGGAAAACATCTACAACATTTCTTTTCTTTTTGGGGGGGGTGGGGGGTGGGGGGAGGCGGAGGCAGCAGGCTCTCTTACCCTGTAGCCCTGGTTGGCCTGAAATTCAATAAGTAAACCAGGTTGGCCTCAGACTCATGGAAATGCATCTACCTCTCTGCTTCCCAAGTGCTGGGATTAAAGGCATTCCCCATCATGCCTAGTTCTACAACATTTCTTAAAATATATAGTTGGGAGAGAGATTCCACAGAATGAATTTGGGAAATGCTAAATGAAGCAAAACAAGACCAAATTCTACACCGAGGCCTTCGCAGGGTTTTTAAACCCCAGTCCACATGTTACTAAATTGCCAGTGTAGGAGAACAGTCCTCCAGACTAAGCCGACTCTAAAATCTGGTTTTACACTTCAGGCAGGAGGACCAGGAAGGGCAGGCAGGGCACTCCGATAGCCCTTCTGCGCAGAATTTTGAGGGTTTATTATTGGGATGTAAAATGTTAACAATTTTCCAGGCGTATTGATGAATAAAAACAGCAAAACATGACTTTCCTACATGCCAGAATGTAAAGTATGTGTCATGAATAGTTCTGTCTTTAATGGGGAGAAAATACAGCTTCGCTCTTAGTTAACAAGCAAGAATCCAAATAACTAAAACCATAGTAACAAAAACAATCCGGTGGGAAATGACTATATAAAAGATCTGGAAATAAACGCTGCAAACCTGCTAAACACATGAGTTTGTCAGGGGGTCAGATCCACACCTGAGCCACATCCTCTGCCGCCAGCCCTGCGCCACAGGAGGCTGACACGTGTGAATCGCATCTGTCCCCCGGGGCCCTGGTTCCTCAATTTCGGATGAGTTTGATGCAGGAGGAGAGAAGGCGTGCTGTGTTCTGCCGTGCTGTGTCCCGTCTCCTGGGCAGTCAGCAGCTTTGTCCTGTCACAGCGTCGGCTCTTCCTTGAACCCCAAGCTTGCAGTTAGTGCTTCCTGGACTCCAGTCCCATTGGCCCCTCCTCTGGCCCCTGAAGGCTTAGGCACTGTGATGTGTCCCACTGTTGCTGATCCCCAAGTGTCTCGCCCGCCATCTCTTCTCTGCTCCCTTATCTTGAAAGGCACTCGTGTAGCCTGCCTCTTTGTTAAGGTCTCGTCAGTTAAACCATTGTTGGTGGGTGTTTCTTGACAGAAGCCTGCCTCAAAGATTTGTTGGTTCTTTCTATAGTGTCTAAATAAGCCTGATGCTAAAACCTAATAAGTGGCACAAAGCACAGAGTGAATGAATGAGTCATACATCCATCTCATACACCAAGTCTCATTCACTGGAATGCCAAGTCCTAGTAAGAACACAATCAGATTAAGGTCAACCTATATCCAACAATACATGGAAAAAAATACAATCAGCAAGCATTGCTATGAAGCATAATGTTTCCGTAGGGGACTTCGGCAAACTGATTTATCTCTGCCATAGGTCAAAAGGGAAAAGACGATCTCTCGTGCTGAGTACAAGTTTGGTAAACTTAACTATTTCTGCTCGTTCAGTCAAAATATACTTATCTCACAAAATGTGAACTATAATAAATCTCTGGTGGGGAGACGACATCTCGGTTAGTGAAGAGCTTACCGTGCAAGTGAGAGGCTATGAGTTTGATCTGCTAGAACTCATACAAAGAAGCCAGCCACGGCAGTGTGAGCCTGTAATCCCAACCTGGAGGACACAGGGAGAGGAGGAGCCCCGGGACTTGCTGGCTGGCCAACCTAGCCAAATTTGTGAGCTCCAAGTTCAGTGAGAGATCTTCTCTTAAAAAATAAGGTGGAAAGCTGGGAGTAGCAGCACACGCTGTTGATTCTGTGGATCTCTGTGAGTTCAAGGCCAGTCTGGTCTAGGCTATATCGTGAGACCCTGTCTCAAAAAAGGAAGAAAAGAAGAAGAAGAAGAAGAAGAAGAAGAAGAAGAAGAAGAAGAAGAAGAAGAAGAAAAGAAGAAGAAGAAGGAGAAGAAGGAGAAGAAGGAAAAAGTAGAGATGGCAGTTAAAAGCACTGGCTGCTCTTACAGAGGACCCAGGTTCAATTCCCAGCACCCACCTGGTGGCTCACAACTGTCTGTAACTCCAGTACCAGGGGCTCTGACACCCTCTTCTGGCCTCCACAGGCACTGCATGTACACAGTGCACAGACATACACGTTAGCAAAACACTCAAACATATGAAATAAACATACATAAATCTTAACAAAAAATAAGGTGGAGAGTGACCAAGGAAGACACTAAACATAGACAGACCTCTACCTCCACATACAGACATGTGCATGCACACATATATACACACAGACGAACACAATAAATTTCAAATGCATAGCTAACGCCAACAGAATGAGAATCAGGAAGGGTTCCAGTTAAATACAAGATGCTTTCAGCCATCTTGTTAGGTAATTATGCACATACTGTTCAGAAGGTCCTACTTAATGCAATTAGGGCATAAATGAGAAGACTGGGGGGCAATTATCTGCAAATATGGCTGCTGATACTGTGAAATATCTACTTGGTCACCCTCCATGTCTCCCTTCTCAGAACCCCTAGGAACCCCAGGATTTCCCAAGTGATATGTTTTTGGTGTGAGAATGAGTTGCTGGTGGCTGGGCCCTTAGGAAGCTTCAGGATGAGAACTGATCACTGGGAAGAACCCAGCATGATGGACGTTGATTTTCAGCTCCGCCTGCCAATCTCCTGGAGGGAAGCTGGTGGTTGAGTTGATCGCTGATGGTCATGTCTACATAATTAAACTTCCATGAACCCCCCTCCCCAAATACTGGTTTTGGAGGGCTTCCAGCTGACTGAACATGTAGAAGTTCCTAGAGGGTGGTCTGAGAATGAGTCGTGGAAAATCTGTTGTTGTAGAGCCTGGACAGGGAGAAGTTGCAGAACTCTGGTCTTTCAGCTGGTGTTTGAAGCAGGAGACAGTCTCATGCAACTGAGACCTCCGCTTGTGGGCACCGACACTACCTCCAGGTAGAGAGCATCAGAACTAGAGGGCAGCAGGCCTCGCTGCAGAACGGCTGTCTCTTGGTGCTCACACTTCTGTGTTGTGAGAGAGCACTCAGAGAAACTGGTTTTGTTTTTCTTCTATATCCTCAAATCTGCCTTTCTAGAAAAACAAAGAAATTAACGCAAAGTAATAAAAGGAGCAGATTTGAGTAAAGCGGTCAGTATGTCAAAGCTATAGGATGGCTACCAGCTTTTCAGTTTCTACAACTTGTCAGAAAACACAGAATAAGAAGGACTATGAGTTATCCATCGCTGTCTAACAAGTTACCCCAAAACTGAGCAGTTTAAAACCCCAATACCAATGATCTTCCTGAGTTAGGGAACCACAGCTAGGCCTGTGTCTCAGTATCTTTCACAAGACTATATCCAAAGTGTCAGTCAAGGCCCAGCTGTCATCTAGAAACCCAGCTGGAAGAGAACTAGCTCCCATGTGCACTGCCGTGGATTTATTGCCCAGTGCCTCCCTAGCCGCTGGCTGGAGGTCACCTCAGTTCCTAGCCACATGGGTTTTTTGTAAGGCAGCCCACACAACATGGCGGCTAGTTTCATCAGATCAGTCAAATGAGTGGGCTGAAGGGAGGGCCTGAGAGCCTTTGGAATTTAATCTCAGAAGCAAAACCTCAACACTTCCACCATATTCTGTGAAATTAGTTACCAGGTATAGCCCCAAAGAACGGCATGACCAGAGGCGGTGGCTCCCATTAGGCAGGGTTCCTTTGGAGCTGGAAAGAAACTGCAACGTTTCACGAGGGAAAGCCTAAGCACAAACATTCATTTACAAAACACCTCACCAAATAACCACAAAAAAAGAAAACCTCAATAATGGGAGGTACATTGTGCTCTTGGGTGGAAATACTGTTTCGAAGAAGCCAATTAGCACTAAATTAATCTACAAATTAACTCAATTGCAATTCCCAGAGATACTGTGTCTGCTCATGTGTATAGAGAAAAAAGAATCTAAGCCAGGTATTGTGATGCACACCTATAATTCCCGTACCTCAGAGGCTAAGGGAGGAGGGCTGTATGTTACAACACTCCATTTCAAAAACAAAAATTAAAAAACCAACCAAACCAAACATCTCATCTAGTGGCTGGAGAGATGGCTCAACAGTTAAGAGCACTGGCTGCTGGACCAGAGGACCCAGGTTTGATTCACAGCACCCACATGAGAGCTCACAACCAGCTATAACTCCAGTTCCAGAAGATCCAACACCCTCTTCTGGCCTCCTCAGGCACCATGCATGTGGTGCACTTATATACTTGCAGGCAAAACACTCATAATATAAAATAATAAAATTAGGATTAGCAATAAATGAATGTTATCTTTAAAAAAAAAAAAAAAAACTCATCTGAGGAAACTAGTTAGAGATCTACCCAGGTGCCAAGAACACCTTGGACCATCTCCTTAGAAGCTGCTAGCTGAGGACCAGGGAAATAATCCAAGTGTGAGAACCAAAAATCAGAGGCTATAAAGCCCTAACGGTGCAAGTGTGGGGACCCAAGTTTAATCCCCCAGAACTCACATGAAAAAGCCAGCCATGGCAGTGTGTACCTGTATCAGCACTGGGGATGCAGAGAGGGGAGGATCCCGGGCTTGCTGACCAGCCAGTTTAGGCAAACGGCTAGCTCCAAGTTCAGTGAAGAATCCTGTTGTATATGCATATGGCACGATCACAAAGGGAGATGTGAACAGGGAGGCAGAGGTCTATAGGGAAGAGGGTGGGAGAACAAGAGAGGTTAATGGAGAGGGCAAAGAAAGACTAAGGTTTCCTCTCACATTCCCAGAGCGGGGCATGGAAGCAGAAGGGAACCTATGTGAGTGGAGAAAGTCAGTGTGTGTGTGTGTGTGTGTGTGTGTGTGTGTGTGTGTGTGTGTGTGTGTATCAGGGGTCGAGGGTGCGGGGGCGGTAACTATGAGCAAAGTTCAATGATATATGTATGGAAATGCCATAATGAAGGTCTTTGTTTTTTGCGCCGACAGAAAAAAAGAAACAAAGCAGACACCTGCCTTACCTCACTCTCTTCCTCCACCCCACAGCTCAGGGGGAGCCAGGGGCTGACAGCAGAGCCACTTGGCATCAGCCTGCAGGCTCAGGATCTGGTTCGGATGACTGAGCTAGGGCTGACCTGAGCTGTCCTCCGACCCCCAACAGAGGGCATCTGGGTGAACAAAGACCCAGCCTCCCCTTCATGGAGGCGGCCCTGAGTCCCAGTGATGTCCTGACAGAGACATGGAGACCCGCAGCTGGTACTGCCCAGGCTGGGGACTCACGGTGTGGCCTGGATGACTGCTGGAGTGATGGGAGGAAGGACCTAGAGCGTGGCTATTATCAGGTGCAAAGGAGACTTGGGGTATCCTTTGGGGGTGTTTTGTTTTCCTTGCTTCTTACTAGGAATTGTAAATTTCCTATAATTATTGGTTATGATGGGAAAGAAAAATCTAATTTAAAAAAGGACGGAAGGGGAAGGGGCTGGGGTTCAGTACAGGTGCTTGCTGCACAGTCTGAGGAGCTGTGTTCAGATCCCCAGCACCCGCGTAGAAAGCTGGGGCTTGCCGGCCAGCTAGTCTAGCCAGTTGAGGGGCTCCACGGTCAGGGGGAGACTGTGTCTTAAAAAGTGAAGAAGGGCAGTGAGATGACTCCGTGGGTGAAGGTGCCCACTGCCAAGCTGGATGACCTGAGGCTTCGATTCCCGAGGCCCACATAATGGAAGGAAAGAACTAACACCCGCAAGAAGTCCCCTGACCTCCACCGACATACCGTGGCACGCACGCATTAAATAAATAAATGTAAGTAAAACACCAAGATGGAGAGTGACTGATGAAGACACTCGATGTTAACTGCTGATCTCTACATGTGAGCGCGCATGTGTACATACATACATACACACACACACACACACACACACACACACACACACACAAGAGAGAAAGAGATTCATATGCATTCATACATACATTCAAAGGTCACCGAGAGTCAGTGCGACGCCCATCTTTACCTCTCCCGGGGATTACTTACACTAGACTGGGTCTCTTTTGGGGACCTGACAGTCCTGCCCTGTCTCTTTAACTCCTATGGCCAGCACAAAGGCCTGGCACTGGGCAGCCACCCAGGGAACACACTGAACGAGTGGACGAAGGAAGATGTGGGAGAAACACAGGTACACAGAGGCAGAGAGACGGAGGTGATGGGGGACACATGGGCACACAGAGGCAGAGAGAGGGAGGTGATGGGGGACACATGGGCACACAGAGGCAGAGAGAGGGAGGTGATGG